ATTTTTTATGTTTTTAAGACAATAACCACAATAACAGTAGTCATTAATCGTCTTGCTTTATTATTAATAAAAAAGTTGTTATTTTCCATTAATAAATAAACCAAAAAAATACATTAACCTAACATAAGATATTTATAAATTACAAAGCTTGTAATGTTTGCAAATTTTGATCATTGTTTGTAAAAGTTAGTCATCAGTACTTGCTAACATAAAACTGATTTTGACAATGACATACCCTCTAAGAAAAGAGAGGGTGGGTGGAGCTAGTAACTGCTAAAATAAGACCGATTTTGGTAAATGACATATCCTCTAAGAAAAGAGAAGGTGGCTGATCGGGGTTATGCCTGCTAAGGTAAAGTTGATTTTGCAAATGAGATTCCCTCTAAGAAAAGAGATGGCGGGTGGGCGGCGCTAGTTCCTGCTAAAATAAGACCGATTTTCATAATATTATACAAGGCTTCCACTAATAGCTCTAGGTGGAATTTAATTAATTCAGCTCCATTTTGATCTATTTTTGGTGCTGTTCCATTTTATAACCTGCTCATTGTTTGTCTTATTTCTTGTCTTTTTCTCTTATCTGTTTTTCTAAATATTCTAGAGATCGCCCGGCCAAAGAATGACATGTTGAGTCATCACAAGCTGCGCACAAGAGCAGGCGGGCAAAGACGTCAGTGGCGTAGTCATATTTTGTTATCTAAGGATCTTGGTGTACGCGTTAAAGAAAAAACGCCTCCTTTAGTTGGTGTATATGATGTTGCATAATTTTGTCCCCCCGTTTAAAAATGAACTATAACAAAAATAAGATTTATCTCTTTCTCCAGTTGTATTTAGTATTTTTAAATTTAGATGGAAAAAAAAATAATCAAAAGAAATTTATTTAATGAAATACATAAAAAGATTAAAATAATTAAACTGAGTTCCAGTCTGTAGGATTGCATCCTAGGTCATCAGAATTTTCAACACCAATTGATTTTTTGAAGGACACAATGTACTGTACGACACTAAAACATTTTAACTAACTGTATAATTTTAAGTATATTTATCTTTATAAATTTATAGATGTTATTTTAAGGCTCTGAAGAGAACTGATTTTTAAAACTTGTAAAACAAATAGTGAAACAAAAAAATTCACAGAGCCCTAGTGAAACACAGGTGAAACACGTGAAACACAAGAAACACAAAACGAAATGCAGCAGACGCCACTGAGAGACCGCCTCCCCTCCTTTTTGAAAATGGACTCGTTCTGTCACAATTTCGTTCTTTGCGTACTTTTATATACTTATAGCGCCCAAACTCTAACTACCTCTTTCGAATCCTTTAAACTTTATTACACTACTTAAAAAAATTCTCTATTCTGCATTAATACTCTTGCTATTTATATGTATCTTTTTCCTCTTAAATCTTTTGATGATTTCGTAAATTTTTGCTTTTGAACTTTCTGTAGCTCTTTACGAGTACCAACAAATTCAGCTTCTTTAAAAAAATGATTTTGTGAAATTTTACTCATTTTAAACCCTTATAAGTTAAAAATGTATAAACAAAACCAATTACATTGTAATAAAAAAAATGTGGCTATGAGGATATTGAACCGCGACTTTCTCGTCATGAGCATGACGCTTTACCAGTTGAGCTTATACTATTATAAAATGTGATGATACAATTTGGATTTTTTTGCGAAAATGTCTATGCCTAGGGTAAACAATCAAGGCAGATTCATAAATCATAAGTACAAAACTATGTTATTTTATACAATTTCAAGAGTGTTTATCATGCAAAATTTTAAGGTGGCGTCATCAAATTGTTTTCCATCCATGCGATATTCCTGAAATACGTTTCGGAGATTATCTGTCTAATAAATATCAACACAGATAGCCCACAGACGAGAGAGAGATTACAGACAGACAAACAAAAAAGAGGACCTATTTTTTCATACTGTAGGGATCATGAAACATCAATTAATAGCATATACTGAAGAAATCGTGTGCTTGCTAGCTTGTCTAAACAAGTTTGGGTATATTTTGTACATTACGACTGTGAAATCACGATTCTCTTTGCTTTAAAACTGCACCCTTGAAGTGCAGTCCAATAAGAAGCTGAATTCTTCGAAAAACTATAAGATTCAGTGTTACAAGTTTTATTTTTTATGATGACGCAGTTTGGATTTTTTTTTTGAAAATCTGGATGTAGGGTAAATAATAATCAAGGTAGATTCATAAACTACAAAAATCGACCTTGTCTGATGAATATTTGCACAGACGAGAGACAACATGCTACAGATAGAACGGAAACGGGTACTTATTTTTTTATAGTGTAGGGATAATAAAACGTCAAGAAAACATGGATGGATCCTACTAAAAAACCATAGAAGGATGATTTAAATTAAATATTGACAGTGTCTAGTAAACTTGTCAATAATACAATTGAAAATGTAGTACTATTTTGTTGTTAAAATTAAAAAACAAGTTAAATGTTGTACTCTTTACTGTGCACGTTGTGTTGATAGTTTAACAAACTGGTTGAATCGTAAGAGCAGTCCTGGACTTTGTACTTTAGTTTCTACTATGTACTAGTATTTTTTTACCTCTTTTTTTGCCACACCAAGTTCGAATCTTGTGGCAAAAGAAGTAAATTCTAGTTTTCCTTCTCAATCAGTACCCTATTCAGAAATTTTTCCAGAACCAACATAACTAGATGCTGAACAAAATGCACACCCTTTAGAGATCTTAAAATAGAGCTTCAAAAGTTACATTTCTGAAATTTTTGAACGAATTACTGGAATCTACGAAAACCAAAACGTGGAAAATAGACCCAATCGTCTCCTTTTCACAAAATAAGTCGATTCCGCATGTCGCGAATGTATCAAGACGTTCAGGGTCCTCAAAAGACGCCAAAACATAACTCAGAACTCATAAATTTGGACAAAAATATTATTTCTAGCTAAAATTTTAATTTTTTTTAGTATTTTCGAGTCCAAAAGGTATACGAAACGTTAGACATCATAAAAGAGAGCTTCAAAAGTGACATTTCTAAACCATAATAATTGATTTGAGATTGAGGGTGGAAGTTATGTCCAAATACACATATTTCGCCTTTTCCTCGTGTATGTATGTACATCGGAATTATTTATTCTTCAGTGCCTGTTGGACATATTGTTAATACGACAGAATCCTACGAAAATGGAACACGCGTTCTTGACAAAATTAATTACAGAAAGTATAAATGGCACATCAGCCCTGATTTCAAAGTTGTGGCAGTTCTACTTGGTTTACAACTTGAATACACGAAACATTGCTGTTTCATGTGTAAGTTAAACAGCCAAGTAACAAATTATTATCATTATAAGTTAAATAATGGTCACCAAGAGAGCGAAAGAACATAATCCACCCGGCACTAGTGAAGCGTAAGAAAATGTTGTACATTGCATTGATAAAATCGAACAATAAATTTGAATTAAAAACTGAAAACTATAAATTTTTAGCTCTGTTTTGGACTTCCTTGATTGTTTGCTACTGAAAGAAAAAAAATGTTGACCTGTTTCGTATAACATGTAAAACTGTATTCTGCACATGATATATCCAGTGCAAAAGTTCTCGTTTATTAATTGACGTAACCGTAATATTTGTTTCAGAAGTTTCAGAAATTGCGCCGTTTGCCTTTGTAGCGAAAACTAGCTCGAAAGGTCCACGGTTTTGTGAAATCATTTAATAACAAGCAGCCGCCCTCATTCTGCACAATACCATCCATTTATCATCCTTGCGGGCTGAAACATGCCAATAAAATATGAATCACTCGCACAATTGTTGCATGTCATTTTTATCCTGAATTAATGCGCAACCCAAAAGCTTCGAAATCAGTTGCACATTGGACTGGGCGAGAATAAACATCGACCAGGGACTTTAATTAACCGGAGTGTAATTTAACTTGACTCCACAGAGAGGGTGTGCATGCGTCAGGATCCATTAAGCCTAGAAACTGACCCTTAAAAACGGACGGATAAAGATTATTTAACTTTAGGCATTCCGGATTAGAAATGTTACGATCATCTCGACCTTTTATGAAGTTGTCTGGCCACACTATGCATTCATTTAAGCCGTTTAGGAAGCCGCATTCGTCATTACGTAAAAGGTTCTTAAAAATTTTAAGCTTTATTAAAATCGATCCGGTGCCGCTGCTGGGAATATGCCAAAGCTCTTGCTTTATTTTCTTTAAGGAAATTAGATGGCAGAACCAATAACACAACTGTGACATGTCTTGAGACGAACAAAATATAAAGACGCGGATACGCAGGAAAGTCTAAAATTTATGTTTAAAGATTTAAAAAGTTTGTTGGGAGGAAATTGGATTTTATTAATAAAGTTGTTAAACTAGGGTCTTATTAGGAATTAGTTACGACTACCGATTTGTCTGGAATTATAAAATATGGCCAGTAAATTCAGGTGTGCAAACTTTGCTTGCTCAAACTCGCAATTATAGGACGGAAGCTATTAGGGGGCTGAAATTTCAATGATATTACTTTAGGCTTGTATGAAAGTGGAATTACGCATCGCAATTCTAATTCGTATTCTCGTCGGGACGAACGAATAATTCAGCTTCACTGTAGCTAATAACTCTAGGCAATTATTACCATTTGCGTGCGTCACCATGACACAGACATAACTTCGTGTTCAATTTCACAAGAGTCCAAAAACCTTACACCACTCCCTTGTCACCATATATCATACCAAACAAAAATTTCCAGCAAACCGTGACTTCGAATTCGTTCCACTATTTACATTTCAGTTTATTCAAGGCGGAAATACTGTAATGCATTTCTGTATCAGCTGCACCGTACAGCCATAAAATTGACCTCAGCGAAATTCATTTACCCAGCTGCAAAAAACTCATCGCTTCACAAATACGACGAATCATAATTCACAACACAACGTGACCAATTCCATCAAGTTATTCCTGAACCCACAACAATACCAACGGTTTAGTAACGCCTGCTTTCCTTGTTTCAGGGTCTACAAGACAGTGGTTTAAACAGTGGTGCAGTTTCCCATTTTGAACCTCAGGTGGCAATGTTGTGTGATGCAGGTCCGCACGGCCAAGAAGCCTATCATCCGAAGTACATGACGGAACAAGGAGAATGGGTCTCGGATCTTTATTCGAAAGCCACGTGTTTCAAGGACAAAATGGACATATTAAACTACTGCAAGAAGGTACGGAACGCCATTCCTTTTTTATTATTATGGTTCCGAGCAAGCTAAATCGAAAACTCGTACAAGTGGGTATTAAATTAGCGACATATTGGACGAATATCTCCATTCCGAACGGAACGTGTCGACATTTTATTGCTCGAATCTTATAAGGCTCATCCTAAATTATTGCACTTTTTCCTGCAATCTCGCATATATTTTTTATATAGGTATATAGTAAGAACGAAGCGTTTCCGCAAATATTCCGCTTCCCATTTTATTTACGTGTTTATATTGCGAATTGCTAGAGGAACTCTAGGGACCAGATTTTATGGATGCGGGCAGAGGGCCTCGATAAAAAGTCTTTACACAAGCGGGAAATAATAAATTGTTTCGGGCTTATGGTCAGTGCTTATTAATATCTAAGGGAAAAGTCTTGTTTCTGCCGTTCAAAATTTTACTGTTTGTAAGGGCAACAACGTTAAAATTATCTCCGCAAACACACCGGGTTTTTTTTATTATAGTATAGCTAGTAATCTCACGTCTGACGCGTATTCGCTTGATAACATAATCGACAAAATTAAACTCTTTCTATCACCAGAAATAAAAATGTAAGTTTATAGTGTGCTTTTTACGCTGTTAACGACTCTCTCTGCAAATAAGTTTATTTTCAGCCAAAAGAACCAAACTTCACTTTGGTGTAACTGCTGACTAAAAAAGTAACTTTAACACAAGACTTTATCTTTCTTTGGTCTACTCTGGAGCACCCCTACATAATAAGCAGAAATTTGCTACAACTGAATGATTCCAGAAACTTTTGTACTAATTTTCTCTTGTTTTAATGTATTGATAAAATCTTTGTTCGTCGCCGACTTCACCAAAGTTTATAAGAAAAAAATCTAAAAGTAAAAGTAGAAAATTAAGCTTGAGAGGACACTAATCAGCACCTTGTTGACAGGCTTTTAGAAATTTCTGGTTACTTCACAAGTACTTAAAACCTGTAAAAGAGCAACCATGACTTCGACAAAACATTTAATTCAACTTCGTTGGATTAACTAGAGGAATAGTTTTCTTAAATTATATATTTCGCTGGTTAAGCTTAATATAATATTCAGCTCGAGGACTATTTCAACGACATCAGAAGCATTAAAGTTGTGTTAAATTTCCTTATACCCATCAGCACTCTGATTAGACCAGTTAATTTAACACAAAATAAATACCTCCAGTATTTTAGCTATTCTTTATGGCGTTCACTTCACCATCCAGTAGTGCCATATATTAAAAGACGAAAAAGATGGTAACCCAAAGGGTAATCAACTCCGAGTTGGAAGTTATTGTCGTATTTTTTTGCGGTTTCTCACACTTGTGTTCGAGTTTCATAGCAACCTCCATCGTGTTTCTTTTTATTACCGAGTTAATGTTGCTCATTACAAATCGTCGTTAAAGTTGGGTAAACATTCTGCAGCTTATCGAATCATGCGTTCGGAAAAGAGGGAAATATGTTCGCATTACATTCATGAATTCAGAATTCGTCCTGCAGCAGCCCATTTTACTTTAAAATTCCCCACATCTTCCCGTATTTATAAAATAATAATATAATACTACATTCATCGCCTAACTCCCGTGCTTGCGAGCATTCTAAATCGAGACACACCGTGAGAAAATTATAATTTAACGATTCGAGAAAATTTCGCCCTTTTTCCACATGAACGTTCCTCTTACGGAATCTTCCACTTTGTCTTTCACCGTTGGGGCTCGAGTTCCTTAATATCCAAAGAGTCACTTTGAAATTAGGATGTGTTTGAATCCGGTAAATTCTACCCACTTTCTAGTATATTAACGAAGGCGTAGTTATTGATGGTGTCATGAATGAGCTTTAATTAAGACAGTTTGAGAGGGCTGACTTTCGCAGACAGGATAGGATTTAGTTAGTCTATAATAACATTTAGTGATCTTGAATCGTCTTGAATATTTCATTTTACATCACAAAACTCATCGCTTAATTCTAAATTCAAATAATATTGCAATGTTTCTCTGTATTACGGCTTTTCTGAAGAGGAATCTTCATTAGGATTCTGTTTTAAAGGCTGCTTATTCCTTCAGCGTTTGAAAAGTTGGATTAATTTTTGTATTTTCTTGCTAAAATCGATTACGGGTTCCGTTCATCCGGAAAAGAAATTGCCGAAGTCATACTTTCTTTTTTGGAAAGGTACTTTCTTCTAAAATTCCGATTTCCAAAAAGTTAAATAAATATAAAGTCATTTACTAAGTTTGAAAGAATATTGCGACTACAGATGTTTTTGAACGAAGTAGAAACCAAACAATTTCAACAACAAATGTTTACTTACGATAAAATCAATGATTATCCTGGAAACAAAAATCAACAAATTGCTAACCAAGGCTTGAAGCCGAATAAAAATAAAATTGAAAAATTAATGAGTTAGCCACTATAAATGAACAAAATATTTATGTAAAAAGCATAGTACACTTTTTTATTAAATATTGCCTGAAGGGCCTTGTGCGAAGTTGTGTGGCAATTTTTATCTTACAAATTTTATGCTATTAGACGGAACTCCTTCGCCCCTGAAGTAGAATTTCAGTTCACAGTGTAAGAAAAGAACTTATAGATCTTGCTTTTCTGAATTGATTAATCGATAATCATTTTTAATCACCCGCATTCCTCCACTGCCTTTGATTCAAACACATTATGTTACGAAAACACACTCTTTTGACTTGTTTGTATTTGGTCTGGCGGAGTATCAGTTCGCACTACTCCATCGATAATAGGAAACGGAGACTTGATTAACAATTGCTCCTACAATATCAATGCATTGATAAAATACAAGGTTATAAATTCACTAAGAACACAGTTTCTAATAATAATAATAATAATAATAATAAACAAAAACGAGGAGGATTCATAAAGCACAAGTACAAGAAGATATTATTTTATAGAATTGAAATGGTGTTTACTAAAATTTTAAGGTCACGTCATTGCAGTGTGAGTGAGTAAGATCAGACAAGTTTTGGTTAGCGTTTTACAATCTACACGATATTGCCAACACATATAAAATTTGACAACAATCCGCTTCAGTAGTTTAGAAATTATCTGTCTAATAAAAATTGACATAGACCACAGACCGAAACGGGAGACCTATTGTTTCATAGTCTATGGTCATGAGTCGTCCAAAAAACAAAGTAGCAATTAATTGTGTACAACTGTAAGTACGTATAAATAATTTAAAAAAAAAACAACAAATTTAAAGATTCATAATTCATTATTAAATTAATGAATATTAAAGAAATATTATCGGGTCTGAGTCCATTTTTTTGTGGCCGTACTCAAGGGTCCGTGTTTAACTTCCGTAATGCTTGAAATTACAAGATATTTAACACGGTTTAGCAAACTCTCATGGCCCGTTATCAAAGTCAGGGATCTAACCAACGTGTTGAATAAAAAAGTGGCTTTTCTGGTCATTAACTGAACAAGAATGGCGACGGGTATTAAAGACAAAGACACATCTCTATGCACTCTGCCAAAGTTTTTTAAATCCAGCCACATTAATAATGTCTAAAGTCCCTAGATTAAATTAAAGTGCCGCAATTCATTTGTACCACGTACTGGCTTAAGCATGAAGGTCCTGTCGTAGCGACGGAAATTCAAATTTATTCACTTACATTTCAAAGGTTACTTTGTAATAGTTTTTTTTGTTTTTTACCGTTTTATTTCAAAAATTACACCCGTTTTGCTAGTGAAATTCAAAAAGTTCGGTTGAAAAAGCCATCAAGTTGGCGTTGGTTATTAATCCGTATTACTGTGAATAAATGACATTTCACAGTCTTAATTTTATTATAGAAAAAAGTGAGGTTAGGTTGTATATTTCCGAATTGTCCACTGTCATCGATTAATGTTAAAAAAAAAATCAGCGCTAACTTGATGACTTAAAAATTTATTTATAAGAATTTAGTTTTATTTTTCTGAAAGTCGAGTAAGACGCAGTGAAAAACACGACAAGGAGATGTACAGTGAGTGAATTTTTTATAGTAATACCAATTTAAATTAAATATAAATTATATACATACTTCCATTCACGTTTAGTTGGCAGCTCATATGTAATACATTTTAAATGACATTTTGCGCGATGTTGCCAATTCGTCAAATGTATCGTAAGTTCCTGTATCTGTATATAAATGGTCCACAGTTTATCACTTAAAATTTAATCATATTTCGGGTTTTATTGTTCGTTTCAGATTTTAGCAGCTCAATAACGAAACATTGTGTTTGTGATTTAGTTTTTTCAGAAAAATAGTTTTATTGCCTCCAGAAAATTCAAAACACAAAAATCATTCCCAATGAAAATATGTTGCTTCCAAGGGGTAAATTTTGTTATAAACTTAAATTAATTCAGCAAAAAACACATCACTTCCACGTTTAGTTATAGAACTGTTAAAAATCTATTATTTATACCGAACTTCCTCCGCTTCTGGAGCCTAACAAATACCAAATGCATTTTGGGTGTCTTTTTTGAAAAAGAAATGTCTTTCATATATTTTTAAGTCGGAAGTAAATCTAAATAATAAATAACTTAAAAACTTCAAATAAATTTTGAATGAGGAGAGATCTGTTGTGACAGGTAACCAAAAAAATAGTGTTCTTTAGAAATATCAAATTTTCTAGTAAATATATTATATATAAATAAATGTATACTATAAAATTCATTGGTGACGAGCTTCAAACACTAACTTACATCGTAATTATTTTTTTCAAAAAAGTTTACATAGTAAACAAACATTTCTAATTAATGTAATCGCTAAAATTTATATATAATGTGTTAATCAGTTTTATTTTAGTGTTGTAATTCATGTGTGTTATGAATTTAGTAGTCTTAGAATTGACATGGCTTAATAATAATTGGACTTGGTAATCGATTTTGGGGACACAGCCATAAAATCGTCAATATTATGTTATCGGGAAAGGTCGTAAAGTAGATCACGATTCCACTAAAAAAAGTTTTGATCATATA